AGGGGGGGGGGGGGGTGTGTGTTGTTCTTACAAGGTCCTTCCATGCTATTTCTTTATTGTAGATGACCGCAGCTCCAAGACTTCTAGCAGGGTTGATCCCTGTGCCAGTAATTGGGATTGTAGCCAAGTGGACCAAAAACACAGCAAATCCAATTGGTAGAGGTGCTAACACCTACAATATCATAATATACCATATACATTTTAGAAGTTTGACCAAATAGACTATCTTATACTTGGAAAATTTAAATCAGAGAATCTCTCATTTAGATAGTTCCAAATCTTGTCAACTATTTAACAATATAAAAAAACATAGGATTATTCAAGGTACGTTATACTATTATACTTACAGGAACATGTGAGTCTCTAGCATTCCTCTTAGAGTCAGTGGCTGATAAAACCGTGTAAACAAGAACAAAAGTTCCGATCATCTCCGCGGACCATGCAACGCCCTTAGTATAGCCGGGCGCGATCAAGTTAACGCCACCACCGTAATGTTCGTACTTAGATTTATAAATGGCCTTCACTAGAGCAGCACCACAAATGGCTCCCAAGTATTGAACTATAATGTACAATAGCCCTCTTATTAGGGATATTTTCCTTGAAAGGAATAGCCCAAAGGTCACTGCTGGATTAATATGACCACCTACAATAATCCCAAAAAAGTAAAATATCATAAAGTATATGTACAAATAATGTAGTAATATATACATGTTTGATTCTTATAGAGTTATATATCTGGTCAATAGATGCATGATATATACTTATATAGTTGTGTATATATACACGTTTAACATGTATTCTCACCTTATCAAATCAGTTAATTACATTTGCGTTTATATGGTTTGTTATAAATATAAGGGATAAGAGTCTGAAAAATACTCCAACTTTGATTGAATTTGCTGTTGCGATACTAAACTTTCATGAGGACCTATTACCTCCCTAGACTATTCAATACCGTATTTTTTACCCCCTGAACTATTTAATAGTGTATTTTAAAGGTAGGTATGTGCCCACGTGGACACAATACTATTTATAATTTTGCATTATTTTTTATGTCCACGTGGGCAAATATATATGTTTAAAATACGGTATTAAATAGTCTAGGGAGGTAATAGGTCCTTATGAAAGTTTAGTATCGCAACAGCAAATTC